GATTGGTTGATATGCGGGTATCCCGCAAAAATATCATCCATTTCTAAAGTACAAATTAAAATCGGAAAGTACAGTTTTAAATCGGAACTTGTTTTAAACTCTTCAACCTTTTTATTTACAGTTTAAGAGCGAATGTCCACTAACACCGAGCAAAGGGTAGGCTCAGTCTCCAGCCGTCGGGATTTCGTGCGCCCGCGATACTCTCTCCCTTGACGGCTGGGCGCATGGGGTTCGAAACGTGTCGCGCATGTCCGTGACGTTTTTGTGTAATTAGCATATTATGACGTAACGGAAGTGAATTTTTCAGTGAACGGAAGTGAAATATCTGAAAACAGCCGTAAAGGTTTTGCTACAAGGCGGGAAATTATGTGAAATGAAAACTTCGCGAAGTAGCGATATAATGTAATAGTTAGCGCTTTAACGTGGTAGATACGGCTAAAATGCATGTCTATTTTTTCGGCTAATATTATTCATAAGATACATCTTAATACATTCTGCTATAAAGTTTTTAGTTTTTGGAATGATTTCAGCATGAAAACATTCGATTTTGTGGTAACTAAGACCGCCATTTTGATCCGCCATGTTGAAATGAGATAGCAACTTCTTGTTTACCTTCGATATCTAGTTTCACTGAGTTTGCGTAATAGAGATAAACTTTGCAGGATGCCGCGAGTATGGAACACGAAGCACACGCATTCTATTACGGCACGTGACACAATCGTCCAATAAGATTGTGCGATTTTCATGACCTAACACGTGAAATTTTTGCACCTCTTCCTCTGAAGCATTTCGTCTGTCCTTTTACTGTGTCTGTCTTTTTACTGCGATCATGGAAGTTTCTGTAGAGCATTCAATTTTGTGCTTTGAAGCAGAGTTTACAGCGAAAAGGTAAGAACACTAACGCTTAATTTAATCTATTTCTAAATGGTCCTTGGTCGACTTCTATMTAACTTAGCGTTGTCATTCATTGCTTTGTTATTGTTACAGTTACCCCGGAATTCCTGCAGGACTGCGATTTAACCTTGAAAATTTCAAGGGAAAAAACAATGAATCGCCCTCCGATTCGAGGAAACGACTCTACCGGCGATTATTTGGAATACTCTGGGTATGTTTGTCTTGTTTAATATAATCTAAGTCTTCTAACTATAATCAGTAGCGTGTTGTAGCCAACGTGTGAAATCGCTAKCAATCTCAATTCCCGCATATTTCTACATTAATTGTATGCCAAACGTTACTCAAAATGSCAAAAAACATTAATAATAGTTCTGCCGCTTTCTCTGAGTTGTTGTTTTGTTGTCAAAATGATCGCAAGAGGCAGATAATCGATACCCCTTTTCCCGCCAAACATGATGGTGGTATTCTACCCTGCGGTGGGGTCAAGAGAACTCTTATTTCTCCATGATTTTCCTTAATTTACGCCGTTTATTTTAGTATGGAAACAGTATTGGAAAATCCTGCTCCGTTGGAGGAAAGTCCCCCACTTACATTTATCCTGAAAGCCTCAAGAAGGTGGTACGTGTTGTTACACGTGAGGAACTGGAAGACGTTCAACAAACTCACCCTGATCCTAATTCTGAGAGGAAAACGGTTAGTAAAACTAGTTTTGAGCATTTCATATCCTCATTTTATCAAGAATAGAATTACAATTTCATGTATTTGCACGATGTTTAATGCTTACAATCTAAAACTGCTCTGCATGCAATCATTCTCACCTCAAAAAATTAAATTCAATTCTCTGTTACATATTTTAATCATTCAA